CTCTTAAAAATAGGCATCAATGGAACAGTATCTTTATCTTGCTTAAACATCTTTAATTGATTTGCACTCTTAAGCCAGATTATCGAATCCGGAGCCAAGGAAAGCTATAGTTACCTTTTGATTCAGTGCCTACTCGGTTCAGAGAAAGCGATCTCTGATAGTTGACAGTGGTCATACGTTTAAGCATTGAGCCATAAGAAACTAAGTTCACGCTGTAGCTGCCATAAATCGAGGACAAATAACTTTTACACAAAGGAGTGGGAATGGGCAGTTTAACTTCGGGGCTTCAACAGAAAGGTCTCCTAAAACCACAGAGGAAGTAAGCTAGGCTTGTCACGGAGAAGACAGTAATAATGCAAATTCTTTTTTGCCAGGGAAAAGGTGAAAGAACTTTACAAAAGTCCCTTGACCACAAACGTCTTCGCATGTGCACTCTTTGTGCGTTGGTATTCTTTTTAACTAAACTGCCTTGAGAATTCATTTAGTGAACTTTACAACATTAACATTACAATTTGAAAACGAGTCTTGGAGGTGAAATGTGCTCGCCTGACGTAAACATGCATCATATGCATAAGGTCTATTCTAAACTCAGTTTCGTGGATAGTGCAGAGTCAGTACAGTTGAGGAGCAAGGGGTAGCGTAGTGATGAGAGCACTCGCCTACCACCAATTTGGCCCGGGTTCAAATCCCAGCTTCGACGCCCAATCTGAGTTGAGTTTGCTCCGAGAGGTTTTTTCTGCTAGTACTCCAGTTTTTCCATATCGTCGAAAGCCATGACCTTAAAAGTAAGTAAGTAACTAACCTTTTATTAGTCCGTTGGCCAGCGAGTGATACGTGACTATACGGTAGCATTTCGTTCTTGAGTGAAATACCATAGAGTACCCACGGCATGGGTTTTAAAGAAAAATTATCAAAAAAATAAAGCAATGAATAAAGCAAACAGGGAAACAAATCAGAACGCCCCCGTTACGTTAAAAACCTGTTAGATAGACAATCTAAGCTTACAGAAGGTATTTTAATGGTAAATTCAAGCCTAGTTAGTTAATCTTAACAACGCGTCTAATTTTGGTAGCATATACACAGGTAGCCCAAGCTCTATAAGTGAGCGCCCTGATGTAAGGGGAAAATATGTCATTCTCATGGTAAAATTAAAATCGTTACTATCATTTTTTTTCAATGAATATCGCTTACCTTTTGTCCTTTGTTTGTCTTTTTGAGTTTTCTATCGGCGTCGGGTCGATATGGGACTATCTCATGAAGTTTCAGTTTCAACGGCTGTGTAGGGTTTTCATATGACGTCCGCCAAAATTCAAGCTAAGAAACTATCGATTTTTCTGAGTTTCTACTTTCATGAGGTTTTACAGCGCCTAAAACCCTATATTTACAGAAATTTTAGGTTCCAAGGGGTTTTTCGTTTTGCGATAGAAGACACCTGAATTTCCAGGCTTTTGAGGGATGCGGCATTTAGCTGGCCGGTCGGGAAAGCTCTTATGTAGATTAAAAACGTTACTGAATTTTTAAGATTTTGCTATCTAAACATTCCTTGTGTTAGAATAAATATTACTTTCATCTTTATGAGTTCCTCGAGTAATGAATTCACTCATAAC